TCTTGAACCCGCAGGCTCAGGCAATTCGCTCACCTCAGCCTCCCAAAGCGCGGGATTACAGGCTGAGCCACCGAGCCCGGTTTATCCTCCCCTTTTAATCCATTGTCTGCAATGTAGCCAGAGTCATGTTTTAAAAATACAACTTGGAATTTTCACGGGACTTCCTCACCACAAAATTAGTAAGTGGTGGAGCCAAGATTTGAATTCCTTATGTCATGCTCCTCATGGGGCTGGTGTTATATAGGGATTAGAAAGGATCTGGGTCATCTCAAGGTAAGTGGGACACGAGCATTGCCAGAAATGCATGTTTGTGTGTATCTGACAACGCCATCAACTTGTCTGATATTGGTTTGTTTTTTTGTAGGTGCACGGGGTTCATATTCCAAAAGGTTGGAAAGTTGGCTGCAACAGCTGTGGGTGGTGGATTTTTTCTCCTTCAGGTCTGTATATAAAATGATCCTAGGTATTTGGAAATTACATTTGCCGATTGAGGAATTTGGCATGGAGAGTTGTAAAGTAGCCTTAGCTGGATTATAGTACAATAGCCCTAGCACTTATTTCCATTTGTTATGATTTTTCTTTTTTTGAGTCAGAGTCTCACTCCGTCGCCCAGACTGGAGTGCAGTGGCCGCTCCCGGCCACCGCAGCCTCGACCTGCCAGACCCCGGCGATCCTTCCGCCTCGGCCTTCCCAGCAGCCGGAATTAAAGGGGCGCACTTCCACGCCCGGCTGATTTTTTTAATTTATGGTAGAGATGAGGTCTCGCCAAATTGCCCAGCTGGGTCTCGAGCCCGCGGACTCAGGCAATCGACTCACTTCAGCCTCCTAAAGCGTGGGATTACAGGCTGAGCCACCGAGCCCGGCTTCCATGTGTTCTTTTAAATGCTAGTGACCATTTGATTAAATTGTATTAATTATACTAGTAAATGTGATTTACTGGCCACAGTTTATTTCCTCATTTGAGGACAGAAATAACACATTCCTCATTATAGCTCCTCTAACAGTTTTTAAGGCCCGCTGAAATATTAAGCAGATGTGACTTCAAAAATATAAAGTGTAATGCAAGTGCCCTGTGATGTGCTAATATATTCAGTTTTAAATAGGGGACATTGAACATTTGATGAGAATTGACAGCTCTGTGACAGTGCAGTGTTTGATATCAGAACTGCTGGGTGCTGGTCCTCTGAGACTGCTGCAGGAGAGACTAACAAGGAAGACTTGAAAAGGAAGAGAGAGCAGCTTCTCCCAAAACAAAAGAAAATGGACATTGGATTTCATCGGGCACATGCTTCTTAGTTTTGTAGCATTGGTGTTCAAACTTGCCTCCACATTGGAATAACCTGGGAGTTTTGACAGAATACTGCTGTGCACCAGTTAACACTTTCAGCAAGAGTGTATGAGTGTTTATTTCTCCACATACTTGTCAAAACTGGACTTTTTCAATCTTTTAATTTTCTCTACTCCGATAAAAATTAGCTCATTATTTTAATGTCCATTTTCTTGGTTACTTGTGAAGTTGAAATCTTCATTTTCTTGGCCACTTCCTTCTCTGAATTGTCTTTATCCATTTTTCAAGTAGGGTTTCTTTTTCACTGATCTTTATAAGAAATTCACTTTTTAAATGAGCGTTCATGTTTTGTTTTTGATACATATTGCAAGTATTTTCTCCAGTGTGTTTGGGTAGCTGGTTGGTGGTAAAACTTCCCCTTTATGGTCCTGCAGTAGGGACTGGAGGAAGAGCAGCAGTGTGCGAGGAGACTCCAGAAAGGTGGAGAGTTTCGGTTTTAGATATCCAGGTAGACAAGCCTTACCAAAATTTGGTAGAGAGAAGTGATATTGATAGGGGATTGATTGATGGGCTATCATCATTCTCTTCATTCTCTCCATCAGAAAACTACATACGTGAATCAGTTTTGTCCTGTTCACAATTTCTTGATGAAACTTTTCACTGAGCTTTAGTGTTTGTGCCCACTGTTTTTATCAAGGGAAATAGGTATATGCTGTATGTATATTTGGATGTGCCTCTCCTAGTACATGTTATATGAAGTTGATCATGAGAATCTCCGTGTGGCCGTACAGTAGATTCTTTTCTGAGCAACAGGCACCTTCTGTTGAGCAACAGTGATTACTGCTGACAGCTTTGCTCTGTCACATTATCAAGAAACTTAGGGATACTCGTGGGCACATTGACTTCTCAGAGCTGCCCTATGGAAACATTTGTGTTGGCTGTAAGTTCCATCTCTTCACCTAACATCTTGACCTCCCTTCCTTGATTTTCATTTTACCATTTTATTTTTTAAGCTAACTTAAAACCTTGTAAAGGGAGTAAGTGTATGGATAAACTTAAAGAATTGCTAGCAGTTATTTCTAGTGCCAGGCATAGGGCCTTGCATATAGGATAGATGCTGACTAGATGTTGAGTGAATGTCATCATCATATAAAGACTAAGAAGGCAGCGTCTCCAAAAACAGCAAGTCAGAAGGGTTTTGAGAATCTACTCCATGGTTTACCCTGACCATAACAAGCCTGTGTTTCTCATTTCTTGTTGTCGCTGTTGTTGAAACTGTAGCTTGCAAACCATACTGGGTACATCAAAATTGACTGGCAGCGAGTAGAGAAGGACATGAAGAAAGCCAAAGAGCAGCTGAAGATCCGGAAGAGCAACCAGATACCTACCGAGGTGAAGAGCAAGGCTGAGGAGGTGAGACTTGGTTTGTTTATGTGCAGTGTATGAAGGGTACAGTTGGTTTTGTGTGTATAAAAATGGAGTAGACACACCAGTCTCTCAGTGATGGGCAAGATTTAAACTTTACAAAATTTGACCTTCTGGCTGCAGTTTGCCAACTCCTGATGCACAGACTTGGTACAAGAGGTCCAGCAACCCTCTTAAACTGTATATGCAAAATAATGGTGTGGGGTATGTGCATTTTTCTAATTCATCAAATTACCAAGAGAGTAGTGACCAATAATAATAATAAGGATGTTAAAAACTACTGCCCTAGGAAAAGGCACACATAAGCTATTAATCCAGCCTTTAAAAAAGGAAATTACATATTTAAATAGCTTTCGACCACTTTGAGTTGTGTTTTGTTTTCTTTTTTTTTGAGTTGGGGTTTCACTCTGTTGCCCCAGGCTGAAGTACAGTGGATGATCATGGCTGACCCCAGCCTTGACTTTCTGGGCTCAGGCAATCCTCAGTCTCCTGAGTAGCTGGGACTATAGACGCGCCACCACACCTGGCTAATTTAAAAAAAAATTTTTTTTTTTTAGTTGGAGTCTCACTCTGTCACCCAGACTGG